GGACAAAAGCCACTAGCCTACCCAGAAAGGTCTCTCAAGCATGAGCCTTGTACTCTCTTGAGGTAGGACGGTGCTCCCTTCAGCTGTTTTCACCTAATTAAACTCCAAATGAAAGCAAACTACTGGAGGGGAGCAGGAAAGCTGGAGTTTGTCCAGGTAAATATCGGCAGGTAACAGCTGCAAGTGATCTTGTGCTTCTTTCTCTGGGAATGGTTCACAAATTGTATTCGCAGGCTTCACCTCACCCACCTCTTAAATGCTGCTGTCTCAGGGGAAATATGGTGGTTATTCAATAGCGCTCAGCAATGACACTAAGCAACTTAGGGCAGGAAAGAAGAGAAGAACACTGTATTAAATTAAAACTGCACAAAGCAAAATTTAGGGAAACAGAATGTCATTACCCAAACTGAACTGTGGCCAAGGCACTAACACCTTTAATAATGAAAAAAAAAAAAAAAAAAAAAAAAAAAAAAGGAAAAAAAAAATGCTGTAAGAGTCATCAAAATCAGAAAGAAAAGAGGCCTTGCTTGCTTTCAGTCTGTCTTCTGAAGGATGGCACCTCAAGCAGCAAAGTGCCCATTAGCACTACGCCGAGCTATTGATTCAGTACCTCCTAAGAAGAAAGAAGGCCACCTACTGAAAAACATGCATGATTTAAGCTAAAAAATGAGCTACTTTCATTGTGAAATACAGAGTTCTCATAGCAGTGTTTCCCCAGAAACACACCATAGCCAAAATAATAGTTTGCACTTCACCTCCAAAGAATTTCACAAAGGTCAGCCTCTAGAGCCAAATGAATGCATTATTTAGTGACTTTGCCATTTTATTGCAGAATATTTCATTGGATTTGTTTTTACAACCAACTATTTCTGTTCATGCTAAAAGGAAGCGTCACTAAATCCCCATTTTTACTGCAGTTGGCAGAGAAAAGTATGGCTACCAACGATGGAATGCTCAGTTGTCCTTGAATTTTAGCAGCTTGTCATTTCTTTGGGCTCCTTATTAAAAGTTGCATGTTGCCATCTAGTTCATGTTCAGTGATATGGTCTCTATGCATCTGAATCTTTTGTATTTATTTCCTAGCTGGAAACACAGCTTTCCTGAGAGCATGCTAAATGATTCGTAATATACAAATTGAGGAGTAGAAATTTAATGATGTCCCTTTTATGAATAAATACTGTTAAGCACTTGCAAAAATATCTAGTTCTGTTAATTCTTTATGGGCAGCAGCTTCTACTGCTCTTATGTGTAATTTGCCCCTTAGAGCCAGTGCATCCACCAATATGCTTTTATGGGTATCTGCAGTAAAACATAACATTTCAGAGGAGCAGATTACATAGCAGCATCACTATGCAGGACTTGTATGGTTTTGCTCCACAGTTAAGGCTGAGACTGACTTTCCATCGTAAGTGCAATAAACACAGACCCCTTCAAGGGGTAGGACTCAAAATCCCAAAACTTATGGAAGTATTAAATGTTCTTTCAGAGTTTTTTTTTTTTTTTTTTTTTTTTTTTTTTTTTTTTTCTTTCCTTGTGACTTAATCTAACACGCAGTTCTAGAAACTTCTGTGGGTCTGAATTATAGGGTTTAGTTTAGGACAGCCCTGAAAGATGATGCCACCAAATGACTAAGAATTGTGTGTTGTTAGCAAAGGAAAGCTGGGGCGCTTGCTTTTCCTTTGAGGAATTTGAAGACTTAATGATTACAGCTGAAAATACACAGATTTTTTTCAGACTTTTGTGTCTAAAGGTGCAAGCAGCATCTTAAAGGCTGGGCTATTAAGCACTGTCTCAGGAAAGGAGGGGGTTTCTGACTATCCTGGGCCTTATTTTACATGCGGAAATTTACCTTGAGTCAAAATGACTTGAGAATATAACAAATACAGCCAGCACATACCTACAATATCTGAGGGAAAAAGTCTTCAATTAAAAGCAGGTTGTGGGTTGTTTTCTTTACACATCGGCTTGCATGGGTCCTGAATAAGCAGATACCATTAAGAACTCTTTTTTGTATAGATAGTGCAGTATTTGTAATTTATCATGGGTGAGACATTTAACCCTCTGTAAGACATCAATTCCCGAAATTTTAGTAACTCTTGTCAATGTTAGTTACATTTCAGAGTCCTTAACTATGGTACCTCCATGGAAAGAAACATCGGCTTTTTAAATCAAATATTTGCTTTATGAATATAAAATGAGAGAAAGCCTTTCTCTCAATCAGATAGGAATTTAACTAATTCCAGCCTGCTTAGTGATCACACGATGAACCACAAAAAGATGCACTTTCAATTTCTTATTAGACAAACTGCATGTAGTCTTCATTAAGATCCCATATGTCACCAACTATGCAAGCATCATTAAACAATGAGTGAATACATCCACATTTGCAGCTCTCCTTTCCCAATATCATGCAATTAGAGTGTGTGTATAGAAAGAAAAATAATGATCTGAT